CATGTTCTCTAGAAATTATTTTCCCTATTTTAAAGTCAAGGAAATGAAACATACAGAGGTTAACTTCAAAGTCACACTGTGACATTCAATTTTCTGAGACAGGTTACCAGTACCAAATTAAAGCCAATATTAAAACATAGTTTTTGATGAAAAGCATTTTTGAAGTTGTGTAAGTTAAAGCTTTAGATACTAAAACACACATGGCAGAAAAAAAAATCGTCTCACAAAGTGGAAACAGTACTATTGCATAGCACTTGAGAATCTGCAAAGAATTTTCTCCATAATTCGATTCTACCCAATGATGTCATGCCGTTTCGGTAAGACCGTCCCTTGCATCAGCACCTGGTACTGCACTCTAGTGGACTAACTGCAACAAGAACTGACTGCCCAAACGTTCCTCTTTTCCAAAAGATAGGTCAGAGCGGTGGTTAAGAATGGAATTTCTTGCACACTCATGCCACCTACTGGTACTTTTCTGGTAGCAAAGGTTCCAGCTGATTTATTAAAAACATTTTTTTCAGTGTAAATTTTAGCAGGATCATTAGAATGTTTTACTCCTTATTAGCCAAGTTCTTTAAAAAACCGCCCCCCCTCAAACTTTAAAGCTCACTTCCCGTTGTTGCCCTAAGGAGCCTTCTCTAACACAGAACCTGACTGACTCAGAAAGGGAAATATTTTATTCCTTTTGGCATATTGACAAGTTTCTGAAACGCCTCTGAGCACCTTGCATTGGGGTGGGAACCTGGGATAAGGGAGGTGGCTTAGCTGGCAAGAGATTATACTCGTGGAATTTTCTTGAGTTCATAGTAATGCCTCCACTTTGCCCAGTATTTTCTGGGAGGGCTCCAGGTAGAGTGGGATAGTTGAGAAGGTGGTGGCCAGTTGCTGACAGCTTCCTCCATGGCAGCTCGACTGCTGGGAGGAGAGTGAAATTCTGAGGAGTGGCTGAAGCCAACCTCCTTTCCTGGCTCAGGCACACCAGGGGGTTTTTCAAACTGCACCGTCCCTGCAGTTTGAGAAAATCTCTGGTCTATCCTCAAGAACACAAATATCACCTTCTGCAAAGCTGATCTTTCAAATTTGCTTTGGATACAGGTTTTTAAAATTATATAGAATGTGTCTTTGTATTTTGCTTTAAATCTAGGAGCAAGAGATAACTTGTTCATCTGTAGGACATATCAGAAGAGGCATATAAACCGTTTGTCTCACAACTTTAGAATTCTTTAAAAAGTGGACAAACATCATCATAGCAATAGTATGCAGTAAGATGAGACCAACATAGGAGAAAGAAAATGAGTTAGTTGCTATTAGGAAAAGCTCTGGCAGATTCTCAAAATTAGCTTGTCTGGGGGTGGCGGGGGAGGTAATGGTGGCTTTTTAATTACCATTGATACTATATTCAATCAGAGTTTTACCTTTTTTCTCTTCTGCTCCATGGTAGGAGAAAAATAGAAGCTTTCAAGGTTTTTGAAAGCAATGTAAAATTCTATTATAGCAGATTATGAAAAATTCCTTAAAGTGAAAAATCATGATGGTAACATTTAATAAAATGCAGATTTCAAATCCTCATTTGCTGAAAGGTTTAACGGTACATGTTAAGTACAGAAATGATTTAAAGAACTTGGAAAGCTTTCTAGTCATTCTATAGTTTAGAATAAATTAGGTTAAATTATGAGGAATTGTTCAGTATTACTGAAAAAAGTAGTTATTCCAGATATATGCATACTGCTTATCAACACGTTTTTATGGTCTATATTTCACTATGTTCTGACAAGATTTAAGACAGGGCTTGCTTTGACAATTCGTGAGAGAACTAAGGTTCAGAGGTTAAGTGACTTCCCAAAGTCACACAGCTAAAGTTAATCAGCATTGAAGATATGTCTTTAGATTTTACACGTAGCAGTCTTCCCAGAAACTAGATGCCTCTTTTCCAGGGACTCTTCTGCTCCTTAAAGACAGTTGATATAATTGGTGTATTAAACCATTTAAATACACTTTTTAAAGCAGATGGAAACCCATATTAATGTTTTTTTTTTTTTTTCCTTTCCATACTTCTTAGCCTATCAGCCATTTGTGACAAACACAGGCTACTATTATCAGGTAGTAATACGCCACAACTATAAATGTTCTGATTTTCAATAACTCTTTGAATAATGATTCTCATGTATTAGTGACGTTCTGTAGCAGCAAGGTTGTATGAGGTGCCCATGAAAATGGGGCTTCCTTAACTATAGCATTGGCTGTGACCTGGGTAATGGGCATACATGGTGCATGAATATCCCAATCATAAAGCCAGTCCCACATGGCTTGCACATGAAGCATATTAGCTGCTTTATCTTGGGTGTTCTGCTTGGCATTTACAGGTGAAGCTGGACAGTGCCATTCTCAGGGTGAACAGACCTTACAGAGGCTTTTATCCACTGCACCAGACTGGCTATTCCCTCAGGAATAACCTCCTGTGTGCCTGGATCATGTTTAGCCATCTGCAATCTTTCAATAGGGAGCTGTGGGTCCTCCATCAACCCAAACATGTTCTTCCATTCTGTGGCATTTAAAACAAAAGATACTGTCCCTAAATTAGTTACCCTCATAGTCCATTTTAGCAAAGGTTCCTCAGAAAGCTGGTGATAATGATCTACAAAATGCAACAACTCCTTGTACACTATACCCTCATGTTTCACAAGTTACTTGCTTTTGTCTTTCCCGGACATTGACTACCTTCTTGGTAACCACAGATCTGAGAGGTATTTTGTTGTTGCTGTGTAACTTTGCCCTTGTGGGTGGCTTGAGGCTTGTGGCTGAAGCTCAGCCTGAAACCTAGGCTTGGTGCAGCATCAAGGTTGGACCCAGCAGTCTTGTTTCATTTTAGCTATTATAGATAATAACTATATAATACTTTGGTTATTATACTACCAAGGTATTATATAGTTCACTTTTCTTATTAGCTTGCATTTCCTTATGCATCCAGTGAACCACCTCTACGAGTTGGATCCATCTCTAAATTTCACTGGTAACTTTTAGGAACTGAGTTTAGCTGCAGCTCTATACCATGGGTGGCCATGTTCTGACCCATCACCCTTCTATCATTTTTCTTGTCCACCTTTCCGAGCCAGGGCCATTCTAGCCAATCCCGCCTCTCTGACAGCAATTAGTAATCAACTTGGCCTACAGCCCTTCTCCCCTCCCTGGAGGTGACTCTGTGAGGCTGGAAGTACCAAACCTCTCTTCAAGCCTGTATCTTTCCCATGACCAGCTCTACCCTGGCTATCAGTCAATATTAGCTTACAAAAAAGAACACACTTTGAACACTCCAAGGATTGTAGGGATTGTATGCTAAAAAATGGGGAGGTAGACCAGATGACCAAACACATGCTTCACAGTATCAAAGAGACAAGTTACTTTTGGCATTTGGCAAAAAATAAAAATAAAAAAACCTGGATTTTTTTTTTTTTTTTTGGCTCCAACCCATTCAGTACAGGGGAAGGGAATGATGACATAGTTCACATGTTTAACAGGCCTCCCAGGTGGTCATGCTGCAGATGATTTTTAAAACCTAAATATGCAAAGTGATGTCCAGGATTACAAGCTTTAACAATGCTTTGAAATGTGTATTTTATGCTTTACCACAGAAATTTCAATTTGAGAAGCCCAGTATTTTAAAATAAAGAAGCCATACAATTAGAGTATCCACCCTAATTTCTATTTAGTTCTGCTTTCTTCCTATCAGTGCAACATGCTGGCCTAATAGAGTCCTTCAGTTTAATCCTGCTTTATTCCCAATTCACACCCTCGCTAGAAGTAAATTTAATATGGCTCCTGGTGGGAAGTAGGTGTTAATCAGATCAACAATTAGTGGGTATCTGTTTAAACTGAGATATTTTTCTAACTGATGTTTAGAAATGAATCACCATAAACTTGCTTGAATATTTTATAGCCGGTAGTTTCTTAATTCTGCCCCACCAAAAATTACCTGTTGATTGACTTAAGCCTGGGCTTAGGCCTAGACTCTGATTTAAACATCCCATATGACTTCATGAGTATGTAAATTTAGGAAACAGTACTGCTATTTTCCCCCTCTAATCCCAAAGTAACAACTCCTAACTATAACTTAAATTTTCATGTAATTACTAACATTATTTTTAACCAGAAATGTTCATTTGGGTGTCTCTCTAAATAAAAGCACTTTGAAATCAAACCAGCTTATGGTTACCATCACCTAAAACTAAGAGGAAGAATGTCCCTCTTCAGTCAAGGGGAAAAAAGCTTATAAATACCGTATGTATATTCCTTAATAACCTACCTAATAAGTTCATCTCTACTTGGTTAACTCTCCCACCTCAAAGCAAAAATCATTCCTATTAATTAGTATTCCCATCGCAAAAGAACAATGTTTTTCTGTAAGTAATCCAAAGTAGGCCTTCCAATATATATACATATATATATATATACACACACACACATATATATATATATATTTTTTTTTTGCAAATTTAAGTTTTTATTTATTATAGTTCTGGGGGACATGTGCAGATCTTGCAGGACTGTTACATAGGTATACATATGCCATGGTGGTTTGCTGCCTCCATCCTCCCTTCAACTACATTAGGTATTTCTCCTAATGTTATCCCTCCCCAACCTTCCCACCCCAAGCCCCTCACCCCTCAAAAGACCCCAGTGTGTGATGTTCCCCTCCCTGTGTCCATGTGTTCTCAAAAAGGCAGAGGAGTTTGTTGCTGGTACCTGCCAATCGCCTAAAAGTTAACCTAGTGATATGTTTTTTTTGTTTATATATACTGAACTATAGTTAATGGTATCTAAGGCAAAATGATCTCAATATTGGCAAAGTAAATGTCTTCATGCATGAATTAGGCAGTTAATCAAGTCAGAATGTCACTATCATTGCCAACTGAAGAAAGCTACAGCTACTCAAAGATACCATGTAGTCAGATAAAAATTAACTACAGAACAACAGTGAAAAATAAGCAGCAGTACTGCACCAATGCAAGACAAAATATACTTTATTGTGACAGCAAATGCACATAGTGCTGTAGGTAAGGCATGCTACTAGGAATCTGCATATAATCAAAAGCCAGTATGGAAATGAATGGGAATGAATGCTGTTCTTAGATTGAGTCCATGGTGGAGAAGGGATAGAGTTTATGTCCACTTATTTCAAATGCAGTATCATACCTACTTAATCTGTTACCTATGCTTCTAACCAAGAGCCCAGTGGCAAATAAGAGGAAATTAACTGTACTCAGAAGTCACTTCCAGTATCAACAACAGAAATATTTCACTAATTCAACTGAGGCAAATTTCCTTTCTAGACAAAGGATCTAGAAATTGAGCATGCAAAACATCCATTCATTCACTCAAATAATTAACCAGTTTCACTGTCATTTAATTCCATCAGAAGCAAATACTAGAATATCTAGAAGTAGTTTGGATAAAGAAACATTTATATTTTAATACTTTGTAATGTCATAAATTTGGGGCTAAAATAACACCAAGTCAAACTTGATCCCTTTCCATTTGAGGGTACCAAGTACAGCTGTGATTTCAATAGCTGAACTTCGGAGGGAAGAGCGCTGAAAAACATGCTAACAAGAGATCTAGGCCTTTGATGGAAACTATTAGGCTCTACAGACTTGTCAAAAATCAATGCAAAACTGAGGGGAAAAGGCTGAAATGCTTTGTAAAGCAGTATTTTTAGATAAGTTGCTTCATTTCCCCCTTTTCTATAACAGATGCAGGTTAAATTTTTTCTGCATGAATGCACACTGACATTCTGTTCAACTGTTTCTAAATGCAATACTGAAGGTTTAAACAGTATGCTTTCATTTAAACAAAGAATATTATATGCATGGTCAATTTAGCTTAAGAGATGAAAAGAAACACTTTACAACTATGAAAATTGCTTTTCAAATACTCTCCTCTTTTATAAGGTGTTTGTAAAAGCAACACAGGACCAAAAACATCCAACTATTACTTTATTTATATTACTATGCTTAAGTTACATGGAAAGACAACGCAGCAGTTCTGTCCCGTCTCAGAAAAAGTTTCCAATCAATATCAATTATGTGGTGACAAATAACTAGGAATGGTGACATTTTTGGGTCAAGACTGACAAAGAATGGGCTCTGGTGCTACGGTTCATCTCCAACAAGAATATGGCACACCGGCCAGCACAAGCCATGCTAACACTGAGCCTTTAGCGCTGGGCACAGATTCGGATCTTTTCTCTGAAGCTAGCAAATCAAGTGAAATAACTGGGTTTAAAAAAAAAAAAAAGTTTAAAATGAAGTCCAAGTTTAAAAACCATACTCCTAACATTTTAATCCTTTCAAAATTTACATAAAACATGCTTTTTCACTCTAACAGCCCAGACTTTTTTCCTTACATAGCCCACCACATAGCTGCAGACAGATTCTGCCTCAAGATGTAAACATAGGGTAAAAAATTAACAGCATCTGCATAATATTCTGTCTACACACTGCTGTTGGATGGAAAATACAAAATTAAAAAAAAAAAAAGAAAGGTTCCATCTTAGATTCTCACAACCTCTTGTTCCGCAGTTCATGAATCCGACTCTGATGCTAAGGTGACAGTGTATGTAAGTAGATTTTTGTTTTCAGTGAAGGAGACCTGGGAAAAGATGGATTTATCTCTGTTTCTTCAAGAGTTATCAGATGGTACATGCTCCTCAAAGCCCTCACTTTCTCGAACTAGAGCACGTTCCAGGATCACGCGGCCTTCCTTATATCGCTGGCTGTCTTCAGTCGCAAATTCATAGATCCATCCCAGTTTGCTATTGCAGTTTTTGCAGCTCACATCTCGAACCATGTGGCGGCCAGTGAGCATGACCCGATCTTGAACTTCACTGTACTGCAGGTTAACTACCTAAGAAAGGACAAGCAAAAACAAAATTGCAAAGGCATATAAGTTATTTGCCAAGTGAGTACAAAATATTATGGTTAATGCAAAGCAACTTCAGAAAAGGAGAGAGAAGTTGTTACTTTAGTCAAACGTATAATACCCAACACTTATCTACAGAAGCTGCTGGGACAGGCAGACATCTGGAAATTGCACTACACTAGACATCTAATGTGATCATACATTACTGTACTAGCCTAAGTCACAGTATTTAAACAAACTAGTTACATTTCTGTGTTGAAGGTAAGAAAGAGTCCTGGAACCGGAGCCATAAAATGTTAGGTTTGGGTCCAATTGTAGTAATTCATTATTCAATGATGAGTGCAAATAATACAATGTAAAAGAACCTGGTGCACCATAGTTATTCCATAAAACAGTCTGTCAGTTTGTTTCTGATAAACAAACTGGGACAGATTATGCTTACTACAGACCACACATATGCAATGCATAGCTTTAAAGTGAGTTCAAAGACAATGGACACAGTGAAGTGGGTCTGAGACAGTCTGTGAAGAATTTCCACTGATTCTGAATACCCAACAATCTTCTACACTTTCCTTTTCTGTAAAGGGCCAGATAGTACATATTTCTGGCTTTGAGGGCTATGTGGTCTTTGTTGCAACTATTTAACTCTGGCACTGTAGCATGAAAGCAACCACAGACAATACATAACGCACATGCATAGCTGTGTTTCATTACATTTACAAAAGCAGGCAGCTGTCCCGCTGCAGTGTGCCCTCCTCTGCATCTAAACAAAGGTCAAAGAATATGCTCCATCAGTTCCCTGAGAAAAGCTGCTTTCCACCTGGAACAGAGAAGTGTCCACTGGGGAAGTTCATCTGATCTTCTAAGAACAGCACCCTAGACTAGCTATGTTCCTTAGCCTAAAATACTTGGAAGTTCAACTTTTCTATTATACACTAGATTCCAGGAAGCAGAATCACAGCATCCAATTTTAAGGCAAGCTAGAAATGGGAGAGACAGGCAGACTGGGTACATACGTGCAAATAAGAAAAACACTCTTCCAGTCAGCAAATGCATGTAATAAATCAAATCAGAATTGGAAGAATGATTGCTAAGCATGAATTAGAGCAAGAAAAGTTGGTTAGATGATCCTTATCTGCTGTCAAGTTATAATAGTTTAATGGCCACTATCTCCCTATATGGATAAATCAGTGACATGTAGAGAAGGGAGGTGGGTATCTTGAACCCTTCCTTCTATAGTCTCTGATGAAGTCACTACCAAATTCTTACACTGAACATTTCCTAAGGCAACAGAGACCACGCTTCTTATATTTCTTCAAACTTCCAAGGTTAAAAATCACATCCTAGTAACACGTTCCTAAGGTCCCATTCAAAGACAAGCTAGGGAACAATCATTTCTGTAGATTTCAGCTCTCATTCTGACTCTTCCCAGTATCTCTAAACTCTGAGGGGTGTTCTGGTGTTGCTGTTAAATATAGCCAATGATGCCACTTAGGAATTAAACTTTTTCTTACTAACCTTGTTAAAAAGAAATGCTCTGCCAGTGGCACCTGTGAAACGAGTGGAGATGAGTTCTGAGCGGTTGGTCAGGATCGTATCACAGTTTGCACAAGAAAACAGACGGGTACCACCGATATGATCAAGGAAAATTCTGCCCATTTTTATGGCTGAAGTTCTAAAAACCTAAGAACAAATAGAAAAGGAAAACAAATGCATTATAATACACATCAGTACCTACTTGGGGGTGTCATAGAGTACCATTTATATATATATATATTTATGTAATCTCTGCTTTGTAGTACTCGATATGTGAAATAGCTGATCCTGAACAAAAAGATCCAAAGTTCACACACTGAACAAATAAAGAGGTATACCTAAGCTAAGAAGATTCTAAAAGCAGTGAGCCAAGGAAGTAAACATATTAGCCAAGGCCAAAGAATGGTCTCTTATGGCTGGTGTGGAAAAAGAAAATGAAAAGTGGAATTTCAGAAAACGAATGTAAAGCACTGGTAGAGAGGAAGAAAAGGGTTTAACATAAATGTTAAGTATATGTCCTGAGCATATATAATTTGAGAAAAGAATTGAGAGATTTTCATTGGGATAAGAGTAGAAAAAGGGGCAATTAGAAAACAAGAGAGTAGTCTGGTTTGAAAACATGGGGTAAGTGTGTGGTCACCAGGTGCAGTTACAACTATACAGAGGTGATTACTAACTTTAAGTCAACGTCTAGGGAGCACTATTACTAGGTGCTCATTTCAAAACTGTCATAAGAACTCTGTGAGGTGGTTACGACCTCTTCATAGATCATCCAAGTCAAGTCTAAAAAGGTTAACTGGTCAAAGGTTACAAAGCTGTTAACTACAGAAAAGTACAGGATGCAATTCGTCTAACTCGAAGTTCTTCCATGATCCTACACTGCCTCCAAGATGGTCCACGCTGGCATAAGGCTAAGGCAATGACAACAGAATAAGGGAAAGAAAAGCCTTCCCATACATTAACTTGCTTATCTTTAAGAAATCTTACTGATTCAGTAAATCGCAGAATCGCTGAAACACTGAAAAGACGTAAATTTAAAACGTGTCTGAAACTAGACTAATGCTTTAGTATTTCAAGTTAGGGGAGTTGCTATATGCAACTTCTTAAATTCATTACAGCTAATTCTCCTAAACAGTAAGTATTTTTAAAGAACTAGAGGTAGTCAAGAATACACCACAGTTTTCATTTAAAAAATAATTTATTCTTGGGTATAGTTATCAGCTCCTGTGTTTTAAATATTTATTATACATCTTTCCAATGGCATGCAGAGCCTATATAACTGCCACTGTGGAAACAAAAACCTCCAGAATGCATGTTTGTCATGTTTGTAATGAGAATCTACTGTTGTCTTAAGATCGGGGAAATTCCATTACAAATTTAGAAGGAAATTCCATTCCTTCTACATCTATGAACTTCCCCAGCCATTAGGCAGTCCTAATGTCATCACAAAAATCATTATGACTCCCCTTAAACATTATGAAAGTTTAATAGGGAATAAAAAACAAATGGTGAATATAATTACAATGTGCAGCTAGTAAAAGGAAAACCAGCATATTAACAAGAGTCACAACGAATAAACCGTGCACTAAAAAACAGATTTAAGGTATAATATTTAACTTTCTGATATATTTCTATAAAATGACAACAAAAGGAAACACATATTGCCTTATTTCAGTCTTTAAGATTACTGCATTATTTTTTTACAGATGATTAAGAATACAATACTTGGCCAGGCACTGTGGCTCACGCCTGTAATCCCAGCACTCTGGGAGACCAAAGTGGGCGGACAACCTGGGGTCAGGAGTTCAAGACCAGCCTGGCTAAGATGGTGAAACCCCTTCTTAACAAAAAATGTAAAAATTAGCCGGGCATGGTGGCACATGCCTATAGTCCCAGCTACTTGGGAGCCTGAAGCAGAATGGCTTGAACCAAGAGGCAGAGGTTACAGTGAGCCAAGATCGTGCCATTGCACTCTAGCCTGGCGACAGAGTGAGACTCTTTCTCAAAAAAGAAAAGAGAATACAACATTTATTATTTATTTACATATAAGTCAGAAGGTGCAAATTCGAGGCCTACAGGGTGAATTCATTTGGTAGCCCAGGAATACAGCAGTCAACAGATAAAAAAGCCCTTCCTTAAAAAATGTACGGCCGGGCGCAGTGGCTCAAGCCTGTAATCCCAGCACTTTGGGAGGCCGAGGCGGGTGGATCACGAGGTCAAGAGATCGAGACCATCCTGGTCAACACGGTGAAACCCCGTCTCTACTAAAAATACAAAAAATTAGCTGGGCATGGTGACGCGTGCCTGTAATCCCAGCTACTCAGGAGGCTGAGGCAGGAGAATTGCCTGAACCCAGGAGGCGGAGGTTGCGGTGAGCCGAGACTGCGCCATTGCACTCCAGCCTGGGTAACAAGAGCAAAAAAAAATATAAATCAAAAAAAAAAAAAAAAAAAAAAAAAAAAAAAAAAAAATGTACGTGGACATGTCTGTATTATTTGGGTCACGTAGTTTTTAATCTTCATCTTAAAAAGTTGAAACGACACTTAAAATTTGGAAGGTCTCATTAAAGAGCCCATAGTTTGGATTTCTTTTTAACAATTGGGAGAACACATACTCTCCTATGGTAACAACAGATTACAACTGAGCTGCACCCCCTAACTCCCACCAGGCCATTTTATTTGCTCAGTTTCCACTCTGTTTCACACAATTAGTTCACCTGTTTGGTCCTTGTACCAATATTTGAATTTATAACTCCTGATATAAATAAAACATTCAACAAACCTGTGAGCAGTTAAGTTTGGTCATGTTTCTGAATCTTGATCATTAACAGAAGGGAATTAATGGCAAGGTTTTGGAGTCTCAGCAGGTATAGGCCTCAGATTCTATATGTCTTTGAAGCCTAGTATTTGTGCAGTCATTTGTAACCTCCAGCAGCTAGGGCCTTTGGGACTCATTATTTTAAAGCCAATTTCCCTTAAGACTTTTAAATACAATATTCATGTTGTAATTTATTTCAACCATAATGGAGAGTAACTAGCTGTTTCTACAATGACCACTGTGAAACCAAACTGTTGTAGTAAATGCACTGGACTTGGAAATGAACTCTCCCTATACCTTATGCCTATATCATTTTAGCTTTGGCTAAAAACTACTGTGATCATTTCCTACTGAGGGTAAATAAAGTTAACATGCCTTCTTTTCCCTGATTCCATCTATTTTTTGTCTTTACCCAAGTATTTTTACTGGATTCAATATGATTCATTACCAAGACCAAAAATATCTGAGCAAAACCTTATGTTACACTATTCCTAGTTGTGGTTGCCATTTATAGAGAACTATATATATATAGAACTGTAAAATGTAGTTTATGTTTGCCAAGAAAGGTAAGTTAAAATGCCACATAATCTAGCAGAAGCAAGCAAAACATCACTTGCTGTCAAAGGTCTTCAGGAAGCAGAAAAACCTCTGCATGGTCCTTAGGCTCCAGTAGGTAGCCCTGGCCTTTGCAGGGTTAGAAACTCAACCTAAAGCTGTCACTATTCACTCTCAAGAGACTGATATCCATTAAAATGCCACTGCTATGGTTTCAATGTTTGTGTACCCCTCCCAATTAATATGTGATATTACCAGGTGATTAGGTCATGAGCACAGAGTCCTCAAAAACAGAATTATTGTCCTTATAAAAGGGTCCCAGAGAGCTGCCTTGCTCCTTTCCATCATGTGAGGACAAAGCTAAAAGGTACCATCAACAGACACTGAATCTTATCTTGGACTTCTGGCCTCCAAAGCTGGGAGAAATAAATTTGTTGTTTGTAAGCCATCCAGTCTACAGTATCCTGTTAGAGCAGCCGGCATGAACTGACAGCCACTTTATTACTTAAGGAGGGCAGTCATTAAAAAGCTAAGATATAACGCTTCAATCAGGCTTCTCTGGACCTGAATAACATATTGAACTCTGCATTAGACCTAATAATTATTTAGTGTCTATGCTGTATGGAACACTGTACTTGGTACTTACATACCACATTTATAATTTTGACCATTTTTAAAGTAGGTACTTATTACCCCACTTTTATAGATGAAAGAGACTGTGACTTTCCAGAGTGGCCAAGCCACTGCATTCTATTCTCTCTTTAGTGATTAGAGGGCTGTCAGGTTTACTCTCTTCCTCAGGGTCTACCATCAGCCCCTTGCCTCTATGCTGTTCCTCCTGTATTCCCTGTCTTGGTTGTTGCCAACTGTAACGACAAACTCTCCTATACTAGAAACCCTGGTAATTTATTTAAAAAACTGCAAAATTAGCAGAACTTCCAAAATCACTTTTGGAAGTCTTTCTCCCTCCCCTCATCATCTTACAATCAAACTCTCCTCACATCTGGATAAAACTTTCAGGGTCAAGGAGTGTATACTGTTAAACCCAACCTACATTCATACCTGCCACTTCATTTCTGCTACACAGAGCTACAAAAATATGGTCAAAGGCATGTGCCACCCCTTTCTAAAAGCTCAGAGACTGCTCCTTTATAAATTTTGTAACTTTTTTTCTGACAGAAAATTGCTGATTATTTTAAAAACAGAAAAAAAAATAGCTTTATTAAGGAATACTCTACATGACAAAGTTTACTCACTGTAAGTATACAATTCAATGATTTCTAGTAAATTTATAAAACTGTGCCACCATCAACACCAACTGGCTTTAGAACGCTTCCATCAGCCCCTCAAAAATTCCCACACACCAGCCTGCAAGCAATATCTTCTCCAACTCCCAGCCCCCGGCAACCACTGATCGGTTTTCTATGATTGCTTTTATATTCAAAATATTTCCCAGGTATGCTAATCACCTTGCTTGGACTTAAGAGTAATCCCAGATCTCTTCAGTCACATATTTCTAAAACATCTTAAGAGTGAGCTGCTTTCACAGACAGCTAGTGTTTGGTGTTGACTCTGGGGGCACCTTACTGTGTCCTTTAGTAGTAACACGCATGCTTTGGTAGCCATCAGTGCTGAAGTTCAAGTTTATAGCTGAAACCAGAGCTACACTCATCACTGAGTTTTATGTAAGATGTTTCCTACTGTTTAATGTTATAAATAAGGCCTCTTTGGTATTATCCTTTTGTAGTTCCACGTTATAAAAATCCTAAGAAGGTTGAATAAGAAAAGTCCCAAGCTTGATTGTTACCTGAAAGCCTATTCTTAGTTTGAAATCACCTGAAACAGTGAGGGGCTGAGATAAAAACAGAAAAATATAAGTGAAATTTAGAGATGATTTCATTGATCATATTTCAGTATTATTTTCAATTTCCTCTCTCTCTCAAATAGCATATTTAGTTATCCAGAACTTCCAATTTTTATTTTGGTGAAATATTAACATTTTAGGACCTCTGCTGCATTACACATTTTTTTTTTTTTTTTTTTTTTTTTTTGAGACGGAGTTTCGCTCTTGTTACCCAGGCTGGAGTGCAATGGCGCGATCTCGGCTCACCGCAACCTCCGCCTCCTGGGTTCAGGCAATTCTCCTGCCTCAGCCTCCTGAGTAGCTGGGATTACAGGCACACGCCACCATGCCCAGCTAATTTTTTGTATTTTTAGTAGAGACGGGGTTTCACCATGTTGACCAGGATGGTCTCGATCTCTTAACCTCGTGATCCACCCGCCTTGGCCTCCCAAAGTGCTGGGATTACAGGCTTGAGCCACCGCGCCCGGCCTGTATTACACATTTTTAAATTACATAATCTAAGAGGGGGAAAAAAGATAATTCTCTTCAGAAATCTGTTAGAATCTCCAGGAATGCATTGTTTTAAACTGCAATGGATAAGATGGACTATATAATTTCCTAGTTTGCTTCCACATCAATAAAACAATTTTCTAGAAAGACTATTGGTTTATTTTACACATACATTAACAAACAAGAAACACAGTTATCTGTTCACTTGTCTAGCTCATTGCTAATTGTTATCCTTAAAAGTAGGGGTCATCAAACTAAGGCTGTGGGTCATCTCAGCTCTCCACCTGTTTTTGTACTGCCTACAAGCTGAGAATGAATTTTGTACTTTTAAATGGTTGGGGGTGGCTTGGGGGGAGAATATTTTCTGACATGATTATATAACATTCACACTAACAGAGTGAAAGTTTTTAGGAACACAGCCACACCCACTTGTTTACACTTAACTCCTTCCACATTACAATGGAGAGGTATGAAGAGCTGCTACAGAAACCTTCTGGCTTGCAAAGTTTTAAGTATTTCTTACCTGACTCTTTACCAAAAAAACTTTTTCCCTACTTACAGACACATTCTGACAGGGAAAGAGCTTTGCATTTAGAAAGCAGTCTTTCTCAGAAAAAAATGGAAACTTGGCTGGCATTTGGGTTTAAGGCTCAACAGGAGTATTGAAAAGATCAGTTTAATCCCATTCCCCTTTTCTTTACGGATTTTCTAACTAAAATCCTTAACTTTCTCTAACTAGTTCAGCATGTTGAAGATCAACTCTAATAAAGATTATAAAAACAGGTAACAACTACCAGCTGCTGTCTCCTCTCTCCACCTGCAGGACTTAAATTGTGGAGCTGAGATACTTGAACTCTGGAGACTCCTGGGTTCAAATCTCAGCTTCCCCTTTAATAGCTTTGGAAACACTGGGTGAGTTGTCCTCTCCTGTTTCATCTGTAAAATGGAAAGAGCAGCAACCATTTCTGAGTTACGAGAAATTAACTGGAGAAACTATATTCTGAGAACGGTGCATAGCACACAGTGAATGCTCAATAAAGGTCAGTAAAATTAGATTACCTTTTTCAACATTCGCCATCCCAACTTGCCACAGATAAGAAAAGCATGGTTCAGAAAGGATATGAAACGGTAGCAATTAACTGGCTTTACTTTCTGTTAATTATGCTAAAGCTAAGCAACCAGATGATAGAAATTGGAAGCTGGAGGAAAGTTAGAAACCTTCTGAAGCATGTCATGGTTCTAGGTCTTAAAATAGTTACTTGCCATCCCTATAATTAATAATCCAGTTTGTTTTAAACCCTAGCAAGTGGAATTAGCCAAGGGAGGCACCACTTCCCAGCCCTTAAAATACCAGGGAGGGTAGGTATCTATTTGCATCTCATAGGACCTTCTGATGGAAAAACACCCAGTTCACAGATATACTTTTCCTTAGAAATGGAAACCATCCCCTCAGGGCATTTCCATAGACTACACACTCCACCAGATTCCCAGTGTTGGAGAGACCACAGTGAGTTTTCCATTGCACCAGAAGATAGGACAAAGACAAGGTACAAAGACTCTGCTGCAGGGAACAGGGTATGTAGGCATCTAGTGCAGAAAGGGTTAAAGGAACCTGCCCCTAGCAGAGGTGGTTTTGTTTTGCAATGATTCTGCTAAAAAGGAATCTGGTGGAAGCAAGCTTTCATATCTCATTTTTAATCTCCTCCCTCACCAAAACAAAGGATAAAAATCCAAATAACTTTCAAGGGTGCTGGGTTGATTACTATAATAAACACTTACTGCTACTGTAATTTCATCCAACTTTTTATACTGAGTTGTGACTAAATGCTATTAGAAAATCTACATGGGAAAGCAGTTTGATCCATATAAACAACTTTCCAATTTTTGTGCAAAATATGTAACAAGCCAAGTTTTCAGTGACACAAGCAATCTCTGCTATCTTCTTGTATTACCTGACCAATTTACTTTGCTGTGTCAAATGATGTCCTGGTTGTGGAATCAGGTATTTATTTGCAGTAAGTTTTAAGGATATGTTTTTGTTCTCTCCCTCAATAATGCCTTATTTTTTCTTGTTTTGTTAGATGACTTCCAAGTTCACTATATTTCAGTAATACTTATATTTAATTATTAGAAAATAGACTAGTCATTTAACTCAGGAAGCCAGTGTGTTAGTGCATAATGAGTTGGTTATTTCCCCAAAACCCTGGCAAGACAATTTCATGATCTCTTGTTTGTTGGATGCAATACCAAAAGCCTCTAACTAGATAGACTGAAATGTAAGTTAACTGTCTTGGCTTCCTGACTCAAGTGTCAAGTAGCAAATTCATGTCTAGCTAAGGTTCAGTTCCTGCATAACACTGACATAATACACAGGATCACCTTAAAACCGATATTAATCTAGATAGGCATTCACGATTAAACCTCAAATGATATTTTGGGCACCAACATACCTAGGACTATCTTCATGTCTCATGGACTGTTTTTCGGAGGGTAGTAGCTGGTTTAATTTCTTCTTTTCATAATTTTTGGCCTTATTTCCTTTCACTTTATTGTTTCTAAACCTGTTTATTTTTCCCACTACTTCAACAGAGAACACAAAAGGGAAATTAGTCTAGAGAAAAGTTTGCAATGATCCAACCAGGTAACATTATTTTCCAAGCCACATATATTTTACTAACCTTGTTTAGAAAAGTGACTGTTAAAATTCAATTTTCTTAGTTTTCTGGTTTAGAGTTAAATAACTTGAGCACATTTCATCATGCCCCTTTCCTAGAAGATGATTGCTAGAGATAAAATGTAAAAAAGGTCTGTACAGGACACTGGGCTGGGTGAGGGTGTAGTAAAATAAACAGTTGGCTGGGCACATTGGCTCATGCCTGTAATTCTAGCACTTTGGGAGGCTGAGGCTGGCAGATCACGAGGTCAAGAGATCCAGACCATCCTGGCCAACATGGTGAAACTCCGTCTCTACTTAAAAAAATAAAATAAAATAGAATTAGCTGGGGGTGTTGGCGCACACCTGTAGTCTCAGCTACTCGGGAGGCTGAGGTAGAAGAATCGCTTGAACCCAGGAGACGGAGGTTGCAGTGAGCTCTTGCCACTGCACTCAAGCCTGGTGACAGAGCAAGACTCTGTCTCAAAAAAAAAAAAAAAAAAGAGAAACAGTTCCTTTTAATAAGCCTACATTCTACCTGGTGCTCCAATACATACCGAGAGATAAGGGGACTATGTGGGAAATATTTTGTGTGCCAAATTCCTCTAGGTCTGCTTTTTCTTCTAGGCCCCCATCTGCCCAAAAGCAACCCAAAGCCTCTTCCTCATTTGCTAGATCAACACCAATCCATTTCAGAATGCTTTCTACTTCTACTGATTTCTCGAATTCTTGTAACATCTCACAACTTACTAAATATTTAACTTTGTATTGTTGCTCGATTGCATTTGTCCATAACTTCTGATTAAATTGTAAGCTTCTAGAGAAACTATTCTAAATTCTTTGTAATTTACTTCTTACCTAACCCAGTACAAGTATGCGATAAACTTTCAGGAAACGAATCCATCAAGGCACTTCACAGATGGCACGAATATGTACCCCGGAAATACTACCTGCCTTCTAGTTCCTCTTTGGTAGAATGCAGCTGCCCGCTGTATATGTGGCTATGCAAAGTTAGCTAATATCCTACTACTCCCAGTTTCTTCACCACCCAGTCTACTAATTTTCCAAAAACACAAGGTTAGCCCGAGGTTACTTCAGGGTTTCCATCTGTCAAGAAGACGTGGAATAAAAATCCTCAGATTATCAACAGATCTCTGTAAACAGAAAAAGTTTAAAAATAAATGAGCTGTACAGCGTCCCAGACTCTCCCTTAAAAGGGAGATTAGTTGGTGTCAGGATTAAACAGATCTTTGTAGTATTTCAGTTTCCCACTCCCGTTGATCCCGACACTCATTTGTCCCCACCTACCTGCAGAGGAGGGTACCGGAGAGGAGTTGCAAGGGCACGCCCACCCTCCCAACAGCGAGCAGGGGGCAGGCCGCGGCCCGAAGTCGGCAAAGCTGGGTCTGCCCGGGCGACCCCCGGGTGGGCTTGGCCGGCAGCCGCTGTTGTACCCGCGAGCGCCCCCGCTCGCCCAGCTGATGGCGGCCTCGTGACGCCTGCCGGCCAATCGGGAGGACCCGGGGCGGCGGAGCGCGGGGGCGGCGGCGGGGCCTCCCTCGCCACAACAAACACCAGCAGGAAACAGCTGAGCCGGCGGCCAGCGGCCTCCCATGGTCCGACACCCGGCGGGCTGCCCAACTGTCACCCCGCGCGGTCAGCCTCGGGTCCTCCGGGCAGGAGGGCGGGGCAGGCGGACGTTCATACTCTGGGGCCAAAAGGGAGACGCCGCCCCCGCCCGGGGGCTGGGCCGCTGGGGCCGGGCGTGGGCCCTGCTCAAGATAGTTCACGCCGGGCGGTCATCGCAGCCCAAACAACTCGGTCAAGTTCCGACTCGGCTTCGGGGCGGGGCCCGGGCGACCCTGCGGGCGGAGACCGGGCGCGCCCCCGACGCTGCGGCGGGTGGGGGCAGGGCGGCCGCGGCGCTGAGGGTTGGGGGTCGCGGCCAAACGGTCCGCCCAGGGGGCGCAGTGGGCCTCGGCGGCGGGCCTCGGAGGGCGCGGCCGGGAAGCGGGGCGAGGACGCGGGCTCCGCGCGGAGGGGTCGCGGCTGTTGTCGCTGCGGTCTCCCGGCTGCGGGGCGGGGGCGGGCCGACTGCGGCCGCCGCGCCAGGCCTCACAAAGAGCAGACAGCCCCGGGCTTCCGCCTGCGGTCCCGGTGCCGGGGCCCACCCTGAGGGGCCGGAGGCGGCCGCGCCGGGACCCCGGGAGAAGCGCGGCGAGGAAGAGGCACTTCCTGCCTGGGCCCCCTGCCCTGGGCCGATCCCGAGCGCCTCGAAGCCGCCCAACCTGGACGGGCTCCTCAGCGCCCCCGGCCCCGAGCCCAGCCCCTCCCGCGGGACTCACCCTGAGCGGCGGCGAGATCCGCGGCTGCCAGCGGCTCCTCGCTCCTCAGCTGGTTTGAAGCCCCTCCGCCACCAGAGTCTCCAGGTTTAGTCAGGCCCCGGCCTTGGCCCCGCCTCTCCCTGGTTGGGTCTCAACGTCAGTCACCCGGCGTGGCTCCGCCCCTCCTGCAATTGGCTCTCCCGGTTGGCCCGGAACACTCTTCATTTCTAGGCCCCGCCCCTCGCCTCGGCTCCCGGCCTTTTCCGCGGGACCCCGCCCCTTCTCTGGCTCCCCCTCCCCCACTCCCTCACCCCTCCGCTTCGCGGCCCACCCCTCCCAGAAGCCGCAGACCCAGGGCAGGCTGGCGACAGCTCGCCCCGCCCCTGACCCCCCTGGCACCTCGGATTCGTACAGCCAATCAAAGAGGTTAACTCTGCCCCCTCTCCCGAGGCGGCCAATGCGGTGAGACGGAGGACCCACCTCCCCCTTTCAGCTGAGAGCACACAACACTGCATCCACGTGAGTCAGCTTCTTAAAGGAGAAGGCTCCGCCTGTCTAATTGCTGCAGCTGCGAATCATTAGCGTCACCAGGTGGTGGCTGGGGCCGAGCTTCCTGATACCTAGTGAGGCCCAGTGATGACAAATGAAAACAAGTTTCCTAGACAAACAGCTACCTAGGTAACTAAAGTGCACCGTGTAATTTGTTTCTTTGAGGCCGTTTCCCCTGACCACCCCTGGTAGAGGGCTACCTTTTGCTTTCAAACCCCTAGCCCTTCGAGTCTGAGCACATAGACACGCCAAAAAAAAAAAAAAAAAAAAAAAATCTGTGGATAAAGGATTTTTCAACTGTGCCTGACTTTGTTTACAATTCATTGAGTTTTTTTTTTTTGGGTAGTGGAAATGATTCTCAAAAAGATGAAAAAATTCAGTCTTCTATATGACGAATTTCTGCCTCAGATAGTGAGATTTGCTTATTGAAAAGGGCAGCTGTTCCCTTAATCCTCATCAACGCTTAAGATGGAAGGTTTTGCTTCTCATTCCATTAGAGTTGCCCAGGTAATTACATCTCAGTTGGCTGACTTAGGATAAAGCAAAAATATTTGATGACGCGTACCTCTCACATGTAAAATGTAGGTTAACATTTGGGGCTAGTTTGCAAGATATTTAAAGTCATTCTTGGTGGAAGAGAAGTTCCGGAGCAAATTCTAGCGCTTGACTCCCGCTTACCCCCAAATCCATAAGTATTTTCATTCAGTTCGTATAAAGTTAACCTGAGCACCAAAGGCAAAAGGACTGGTTATCTTTTGATAAGTGAGTTTTCCAGGAGATAAGGACATTTTAGACAGTATTTTAGTTTCTATTTTCAATTAACATTAATTAAAAGTTATGCATTTATTGTAGGAAGGTCATACTGCCTCGTTTGATAAGAGACTTCTGTCTTCTGTTAACAGCTTCATGTGTATCTTCTGTTCTTCCCAAACTGAATGTATTATACATAGGAGCTTCTTGTTCTTCAACCTGCTTTTTTTTCACTCAACAGTGTGCTATAGCCATCTTTTCATGTCTGATGTATATTTTATCTACAAATTTACCTTTGTTTCCATAGTTTTCCATGGTAGGCGTTCACCATTTTTTTTTTTTTTTTTTTTTTTTTTTTTGAGAAGGAGTCTTGCTCTGTCGCCCAGGCTAGAGTGCAGTGGTGCGATCTGTGCCCGCTGCAACATTGGCCTCGCAGGTTCAAGCAATTCTCCTGCCTCAGCCTCCCAAGTAGTTGGGGCTACAGGTGCCTACCACCATGCCTGGCTAATTTTTTGTGTTTTTAGTAGAAACAGGGTTTCACCATGTTGCCCAGGCTGGTCTCAAACTCCTGGCCTCAGGTGATCTGCCCTTCCTGGCCTCCCAAAGTTCTGGGATTACAGGTGCGAGCCACCGCACCTGGCTTTCTCCATCTTTTACTAAACATTTTTCTACTGTTTTACTAAACATTTTTTCATATGCACCTTGCCTTTAGTCTTTGGAATTAAAAATACTGTTGTAATCGACACCTGTGTACATGGATAAAATATTCAAGTATTTCTGAATATAGTCATTTGAAAAGAGAGTACAGTAAGTACTTTACATGTATTGTTAAATAAATATTGTCCCCACTGTTTTACCTGGTACTTAAAGTGTTTATTTGTATCAGACAAATTCATAAAAGTTATTACTAGTTTGTAATGTTTCTTTTTATAAAGAATGGGCATACAATTTTATTAAATATCTTTTAGTGTCCTTTGAAATGACCATGTTTTTTCCCCTTATTCTATTTTTATATGTATTACAGTAGTCCATCTCCACCATTAAACTAGCTTTGCGTTTCTGGGATTAAAAACTCATTTGTCATTTGACATATGCTAACGCTGACATTCTTTGAGTAAATAAAATAAAAAACAGGAGTATACCAATATCCACCAACATACCCTGCTGCTTTATTCTGGTTACTGACTGTGCTTTCTGTCTGAAATTGTCTGCTGTGTCCCCAACAGATGACTCTATTTAGTAACTACAGACCCTGAGTCAGGCTTTCAGAATACCCTTCTTTTTATTTATTTAGTAGAGATGAGATCTTGCTATGTTGCTGGCCTTGGTCTCGAAATCCTGGCCTCAAGTACTCCTCTCTCCCCTGCCTCCCAAAGTGCTGGGATTACAGGCATAAGCCACTGTGCCTGGCCAGAATGCCCTTCTAATGATGCTTCCATGGACTTCTCGTTTACTCTGATTTTCTTTCTCTTGTTTTTGAAGCTGTTCCTTTAGAGGTGAGACCATCTTTCAAGTGGGTGAAATCAGCTGTGAATCTCCCATTGCCTCTGTGTGCTTCCCACAGCCTAGTAAATCTTCTCCTTGCTCCTCAAGCCCTGAAACATTTGGGCCTCCACTCACCTGTCTTACTCTCTGTGGGGAGCCTTGCCTCATAATTTAGAGTCAGATGAAGACCGGTGGAAATGAACTGCCTCATATTTTCTCTGTCTCAGCATATCTTCCTGTGTCACCTATTTTCTGCAGGTTTGGATAAAAGTCTCTCCTGATAATCCTCAAAGCCTGATGGGGACACCTATTCCTGGAGAACACTCTGCATTCTGAAACTCATTCTGTCCTAAATGGGTCCCGTATCTCCTCTCAACAGCAGAGAAATACAACAAACATTCCTGTAGGCCTGGGACTGTCACTTCCCTTGTATCTGTTCATGGACCACAATACCTTGCCTGCTTCAGGGCCACAAGTGTTTATCATCTCTCTCTTGTCTGTGCCCTGCATAGAAGTGATCTGCCCTCACATCCAACACTCCAGTTTAGACTCCAGTAAACTCTTACTGGTCGGTTCGAATAGCCTTTTAATAACTTCCCTCTATCTTTCCACTTGCTTTATATTGACATCATATTCATTATTTCCCCTGCATCTTGCTGCCTGTATCATGGATGATGTCTGCATCACAAGGACCAGGATGCCATCTAGGAACAATAGGGCAGTGATCTGGGAGGAACCCAGGTCCCGAACATTGTGTGGAGTACAGCTGTCCTAAGCCTGGGACTGCACTGTGTGTGTGTTTACTTTAACCTGAGCTTGTGAGAGCTCTGGGTAATATAAATAGAATAGCTCCTTTAGCAAGTGTCTTATTCAGTTTGGGCTGCTATAACAAAAACGCCCTATACTGGTGGCTTAAATAACAATTTATTTCTCATAATTTTGGAGGCTAGGAAGTCCAAGATCCAGGCACTGGTAGATCTGGCATCACGTGGGGGCCTGCTTCCTGGCTTGTAGAAACAGAAAGTATAAAATGGTATTTGCCAGGGGCTGGGTGAAATGAGTTATTGTTGAATGGGTATAGTTTCCATTTTGTAAGATTTAAGTTAAAAGAAAAACTGTAGCCAAATTAAATTTAAAGGAGTTTAATTGAGCAACGAATGACTCGCTCCCAGAATCATAGCAGATTCAAAGAGACTTCAGTGCAGCCACATGGTACAAGAAGATTTATAGACTAAAAAAGGGAAATGATGTACAGAAATCGAAAGTGAGGTACAGTACAGCTGGATTGGTTACACGTTGGTGTTTGCCTTATTTGAGCACCGTTTCAACACAACAGTGTATTCCTATTTGAAGTATGGCCTCTGGGATTGGCCAAGACTCAGCCGTTGTTACAGGCGCACACTCCCAAGTTACGTTTTCAGTCTTATCTACGTATTAAAAACGTAGGTGGCACTTCATCCACAGAGACTCACTATATAAGTACAGAGTCCTTCTCAGGCCATATTAGTTCACTTTAACAAAGATGAAAAGTTCTGGAGATCTTTTGCATCGCAATGTGAATACTTAAAGCGACTGAACTGTACACCTAGAAATGATTGAAATGGTACTGTTTTTTAGATATGGGGTCTTGCTTCGTTGCCAAGGCTGGAGTACAGTGGCATGATCAAGCTTGCTGAATGTAACCTCGGACTCCTTGGTTCAAGTGATCCTCTTCCTTCAGCCTTTCAAGTAGCTGAAACCACAAGCGTGTACCACTATGCCTGGCTAATTTTTATTTTTATTTTTTGTAAAATAATAAAACAGTGAGACAGGTCTCACTAGAGTGCCCAGGCTGGTCTTGAACTCCTGGCCTTAAATGATTCTCCCACCTTGGGTTCCCAAAGTGCTGAGATTACTGGAAGGAGCCACCATGCTGGAGATGGTACATTTAATGTGTATCTTATCACACTTTAAAAAGCTAGGTTTTCTAATGAAAAGGAAGATAGGAGAGTCAGAGAAGGAGATGTGACCATGGAAGCAGAGATTATAGACGTAGGGCCAGGGGCTGTGGAATGCAGGCAGCCCCTAAGAGCTAAAATAGGCAAGGAAATAGTCTCTCCTAGAGCTTCCAGCAGGAACACAGCTCTGCTAGTTTAGCCTCTATTTTAATTTGGTAAGCTCCATTTTAGACTTTTGACCTCCATAACTATAAGATTATAAATGGGTTTTGTTTTAAGCCACTACGTTTGTGGTAATTTGTTATGGGTGGTGATAAGAAACTAATATATTACGTATTTTCCTAAAGTCATATTTTATATTTTATTACTTGGTGCTGTATATAATTTATTTTAATTTTGTAATACACATAACTGTATTCTTTCTAACGTACCTTATTTCCAGAAACCTGACTCGAGCTAATGTTCAAGTGGTCAGGGAAGAGAGCCTTAGTTCACCACCCTGTAGCTCTTACCTGCATCTGGTTGAGCCTACCAAGAGGATAATCTAATATTTCCCCTAAATTATGTTAAAAACAAAAACCATAATAAAATATCGACAAACTTTTCCAACAATAAACACTTGACATTTCAAAATCTGAGTCTTGGGATAAGGAGTGACAAATGTCGCAAGTTAGGTGGGACGACTTAGCAGAATAAAATGGTGGTGAGAAAGTCAAGCTTTAGAGTTAGTTAACCTGAGGTCAGACCTCAGCACTGACAGACACACTGTCTGACCATGGGCAAGAGCATCACATAATTACTAAAAGTAGTCGTAACTTAGGCAATTGTGGGCATTAAATAATGCAGCTGACTTAAATGTTTAGGCAACGTCCTTAGCACCTATTATGTGCTCAGTAAAAGCTGCTGCTGTGTTGGTACTTATTGTTATTTCCGTGATTCTTGATTATGAAGCCGAGTGCAAGGTGAGCAGCTTTTGCTGTTTTCTGTGTACCATCTACATTACAGAGTGTTAAGGTCACCTCACAGACTGCCTGCCAATGCATGATAGCTGTCTTTTGTGGCTCAACCCTGAATGGAGAGAATACTTGAAATATTGCCAAAAGTCTGACCTGATTTATGTCATGGAAATGAAAAACTAGTCATTTGACTTCTTTCCACACCTATCTGCACGCAAAAGGTCAATAGAAAGATCTCTGGGCTCTAAACTAGAATCCTGTCAATGAGATTACAGTAGTTCCCCCGACCTTCAGTATTATATTCCAAGAATATTAAATGGAAACTTCCTGAAATGAACAATTTATAAGGTTCCCCCCCACCACATAACATGGATGTACAATTTATAAGTTTTAAACTGCATGCTGTTCTGAATAGTGTGATAAAACCTGGCTCTGTCCTGCCCTGCCCTGCATGGGACATGAATCATCCCTTTGTCCAAGCTGTATACATTACCTGTCCATTACTGTACGGGAAAACACATGGTGAATATAGGGTTCAATACTATCCATGGCCTCAGGCATCCACTGGGGGTCTTGTAATGTATCTCCCATGATTGGGGGTAGGATTACTGTGCACACACTCCTAGTGACCACCATTACCAACGATAGTCATTTAGGAGGACACGCTTTAAACATAAACATTTAAGACACAAGCAAATTTTTGGAAGAGAAGAACACAAAACATATTTTAATGCCCCAAAACAAAAAACCCACCAAGCAGATTGTATGAACTGATATATTATGATGTTCAAAAGATGTTATTAATTGGGGAATGCAAGCTATATAGAATTATATGTAAGGTGTGATTCAATTTTCGTGAAATAAGATCATATATACTTATGTATGTACAGACATCTGAAATATTCACTTTCTACACTGTCCTGGTTTTCATAAACATATTTTACAGTGCATATGTTTAACATTAGCAATTAGAAAAGCGGTTAAGATAAATGTTATTGCCACAAGCATTTTTAATTTCAGTTTGTCCTTGGCTGTTACAGAGAACTGATACAAAAAATGATCCTGTGAAGAATTTACATCTTCTGCAAAACTGCCAGTATCAGTCAGCACTAGTAGGTTGTACACAGCAGAAGGAAATTTATTGGCCCTTATCACTGAAGAACAGGAAGGGTGGTTGGATCTGGCCTTAGGAAACTTATAAGCAGCCAAGATTGGCTGGCTCTGTCTCTACTTCTCTTTCTCTTTGTAGGTTGACCCATTGTGCTCCATGTTTACATCCTTGTGGCTTCCTGACTGGAAAGTCTTATCCCTATAAGCACAAGTCGAGAGAGTCCCAGAGAAGGATTCTGTTTGGCTTGGCTGGATCGGGGACTAATTGCCAGGGTTAGGTGTGTGGAGTCTTCTCATTGGCAGCCCCCATACCTCCCTAGTATCATAAGGCTAGAGTTGGAAAAATGGCATTTCCCAAAAGAAGCATGGCTCGACTCTGGGCAGACAGAGCTATATTATTATTATGTAACTTGCAGGGATACCTTGCAGCATCTGTTATAAAAGTTCCTCGGCAATTAACTTGCCCTTGAGCAAAGGCTCTGAGACAGGACGGGTTAGCGTGCATGGGAAAGACAAGAAGATGAGGAGCTCTGTTTAATACAGATATTATTCTGTATAAGAAAGTAGCCACAGACAACGTTGAAAGCTTCTCAGGCTGAGAACAGATGGTAGACAGGCCATAAGTCCCAGTCAAAGAAGTTTAACTAGATTAATTCATTTCTTTTAAAGTTTAATTATAAGTAATTTTATTTTTTAACCCAAAGATTTTAAAGTCTTGAGAGCCTCAATTTCAAGTTTTACAAAACCTGGGTTTTCAGGACCAGAAGCCTCACTATTGGAAAGTAAATACTGTATGTAAATCTTTATTGAATGTCAATTAAATGATTCTGTTAAACATGTGACAAGACTGAGTGACTAAGGAGTTCTATCAAGATACCTTTACATCCTTACTGTAATTCTGAATTTTAACTGGTACCATCTAAATAAGTTTTGATATGAAAAGATTTTATCCTATGGAGTTCATAGGAAGCTCTTTGTTTAAGGTTGTAATCGTATCAGTAAGCTGAGAAGTGGCTCATGGCTAGTACATTTTTTTATCTCTATGGGTGTGTTCCTTGGCTCCAGTGGACTTTGGAGAATGAGTAAATGGATGGCTTCTTGGGGGGAGAAAGAGGGAGAAAGAGAGAGAGAAAGGGATACAGAATTTCAAAGATAAAAAGATAATAACCACACAGTGAATGGAATCACAGATCAATGTTTGTTTATGTAATTCTAAATAGCCTTCTCTTTCTCCAGCGCCATGGCCATTGTGTTCCACTGTGTTCCTGGGAAGCCTCATGTCATCTAACATGTACAGGAAGAGAGGGTTAACTGTGTCCACTATAACAGCACTGTTTCACTAGTGCAGCTTGGGTCAGTTAGAATTCTGCAGAAAAACTTAAAGCAGGGCTGAGCTTTGTCTTTTGTGGACTGGCTATCTGAATTTCTAGATGAACACACCACAGATAACAACCAGTGACTCTGGTGATGCTGCATGGCAGTTCAGTACACTGGCAGCCTTGTTTCTTTTCTATTCTTTTTTAGCATTTTCTCAGAGCAGTGCTATATCATGGTGTTTATTTCCTAGAAAGCATTGAGAAATATTAGGGTTTTCTTTTTTTAATCCAATGAGTGATATATCTTGAATATAGAATAGACATATATGTACTATAGTATATTGTGTGAGCAAAGCTGAAAAGGAAGACAAAGGGTAAGAAAGCTTTGGCAAAGGGAAGGAACTGGTTAGAGAACTTTTTTAAATTTCTGAAGACATGAGGACATTTTTTTTTTTTAGCAAAAAAAGTATCAAGAAGTATTTAGTATTTAGTTAGCTCTGTTCTTCACGAAGTAATGCTTTATGCTCCCAAATAAATTACAACACCATCATAACCATAATGATAGTATTGGTATAGTATTTACTATGTGCTACTCAGTATTTTAAGTATCTTTACCCATATTGATTTATGTGATCCTCACAACAACCGTATGGAATGGATCTATTATTGACCCCATCTTAGATGCAGATGGAAAATCTGAGGCTTAGAAGGGTCAAGTAATCTGTTTATAACTGAGTACCCCATTTTTCTAAGAGAAAGAGAATGAGTTATTTTTTAAATTCTTTTCTTTTTCCTCCTTTCCCCCATTCCCCACTTCCTATTTATTTCTTTAGAAATGTAGTTATCACCTTTACCTTCCTTTCACTAGACAGTCTCTACACAGCAAGCTTATCTAACTGTGCTTACTTAGAAGTTCCAGAGCTAGAACCTGCTCCCACTAGGAGAGTATCTCA